TTCTAAAGTCTCTCAACTCTGGAAGCCTATTTACTTATCATCAACTCAGATATAAGTGTACAAACACATCTGGAACCACGTCTGATGTACAAGTAGGCTCAGTGTGGTCAGGAGAGGACCTAAGTGTACAGGAATAAATTTGCACACTGAGTATTTGCAAATTTGAGTACGAATGCTAAAACTGGTATGAATTAGAGTCATGAAAAGCAAACTCCAGAATGTGCTCAAGCTTGTAAAAAGGGTAAAGGACAACAACAGTACGGCTTTAAAACTGTTATCAGGGCAAGAAGAGGAGAGACTAAGCCTGAGGATTGGACAGGTTGGTGTAGTGTTAGCACGTGACGCACAAGGCAGGAACCTTCTTACTCAAGAGGAGAGTTTCAGCTGAAAGGGGTACAACAGACATGGTCCAGAGGGAAGATGAGCCCAGGGCAGGTGAGTGGACTGTAACAGAGCGCTTGAGTGAGGGCAGGGGTCCACACCTGCACTGAGAAGGCAGCAGAGGAGACGGCATTCCTGCGTGGGAGTTCTGCGGTCTGTGGTGCACGGGTGAGATGCACCACATGGGAGGTTGCCTCATGGGAGCCTGGTTTGCACAGTGAGGGTGTGTTGTGCAAATTGCAAGCTGGCAATCTTGGTAGCAAAATTGTGGCTGTTTTGTGAACACTGGGAATGGAAAATAGAATGATTATGTAGCCAAGAGTTAACCCAAAGTATTTTTTTTTTTTGCTTGTTGACAGAAGAATATTATCTGCATATCTGTCTTTTCATTTGCCTTTTGATAAAATCATAAAAACCATGAGAATATGGAAACTGAGTGTGGCTGACCTTCTAGTTAGGTTTATTTATAACGATCGAATGACCTCCTCAGAAAGATAGTTGCTGATCCTTATAGTCTTTGAGCAAGGAAACATACTTTGAGTCTTAAATCTATTGCACTACCGGGCAATTTTTACTGATTACATGAATGGATATCTACACAAATTAACAATGTCCACCTTGGAGGAGGTCTCTAGTGGAGTGCCACAGGATTTTTATCCAGTTGCAGAAGTTTGGGTGAAGCTTTGAATCCAGAGACTGAGAAGCAAAAGCTCTGTCTGTGGTAACAAAATGAAATCAGGTGGAGTGAGATTTTTTTTGTTTGGATCTTAGAGGAAGTCAGTCTCAGCCCAGCCCTTCAGCCCGGCCCTGTCAGGGACCGAGAACAGCAAAGCGTGTGTGTGTGTGTGTGTGTGTGTGTGTGTGTGTGTGTCCATTCTGAGCCTGCGCACAGCTCATGCTCTGCAGCCAGCCCTGAGCTGTGCGACCTTGGGGGTGTTACCGAAACTCACTGAGCTTCAGTTTTCTCATCTGCAGAAAAGAGATCATAATGATCATACCCACCTTCAGAATTGTGAGAATAAACACATTCCTATACCCGAAGAAGCACTTAGAACAGTGCCTGACCATAAGCAGTGTGTTTGTATGTTAGCTAGTATTACTATTACTATTGTCAAAACTTAGAAGAATGCTGATTTGTTACAATAAGGAGACTGTTGTTAACCGGGCTATGTCCTTCCACCCCCACACCCCAAAAGTGATAAATGTGCAGGATGCGGCTTTGCAGCATAAACTGAAATGATTTGGCTGCTTTTGCTTATGCTGCACAGATTGGACCAGGTGGACATGAGTTTGAAGGAGAAGAGGCCTGTGCATTTACTCCCTCTGGACTGCGTCGTTCCAGAGGCTTCTTGTTGCAGAACTGCCCTGAGCATTCTCAGGCTATTTCCCAAAACCAGTCCTGCATGACTGCTTTCACCTACAAATTGAGATTAATTTTCCCAAGAGAATGGCAACCGTATTTGCGTCTTACTCCAACTGACCCCATTGTGAATGAATGTCAAATTCACGCATTGAGGTGTGATGCTTCCTGTTTTCCCAGACTTGGCCTGCCTTCTCTATTCACCTGGTTTCCTCCCTGCATGGTGAGCTGTGTGTTCAGCGGGCCAGAGGTCTGTTATCCAGCTGTTCCTTCTCTTGACTTTACCTGAAATGCTGTTCGCTTAATAGTCAGATGTCAGGATGCTGCTACCTGCCTGAATCCTGTTGCAAAGGTCCCCAATTGAACATTTCTTTCTAGAGGGTTATCTTATTTCGCTGTGGGTAGATATACTGGCTCCTTCGTTAGGTTCTAAGCTCTTTGAGCAGTGACTGAGTTTGCACACCTTGGCTTTCCCCTCAGGGCTGGGTCCGAGTCGCAGTAGAGGCTCACTTGGTGTTGAATGTCTTCCAGTGGAAGTGAAGGGGGGCCAGGGCTCCCAGCCTGAGTTTTCCAACTCTGGGGGTCGGGGTGGCCCTGTCCAGACCTGGCCAGGGTAGACTGGCGGCAGAAATTGTGTGATGCTTTGATTACCCCAATTTGATCCTTTATTTCGAAGTTTCTTCAGGTGTCTTTTCTCCTTTCATTTTTAAATAAACGTTCATACTCTTAAACTGCCCTAGCCCCTTTTTCATGTCTAACTGCTTTGCATGCTCACAAAGGAGCTCAGTCCATCACTCTTTCTACCTTCCTATTTCCTCTGTCAGCCTCAGGAATAAAAAATGGCACCGCCTGTAGAAAATGGTTTCACAAGTGGGGGAGGACTGAGAGTCTGTATGGAAGGAGAATTCACGGTGGTTGTTTTCAAACCCGATGAAAGCCTCTTGCCCTTGTTTTCATTGTGTTCCGAGGGTTTCAGAGTCAGTCCTGAGCCTGCCAAATGGGAATCACTGAGTTAGGTGGCCACTCTCTCATCTAAGCATTTTATTCAAACATTTCAAACTGTTTTGATTTAAGAAAACAAGTTCACACTAATTTTGTTTTAGCCAAGGTATGGGAGAAGTTTAACACTGTCATGTGCATACTTTGATCAATTTTATAGACGAGAGCTATGGGTGACAATTTAGTTTGTTTTTCGAACATTGAACTATTTTAATCCCAGTTATGACTCCAGTAAAGCCTGGGTTTACTCACCAGCTTGCTCAGCTAAAACTGGAGATGCCATCCGCATGTCTGTTACTTAAACACAATTCAGGAATCAGAAATAGAGATTCAAAAGAGAGCTTGATTTTGCAAGACAAGGAAACCCTCTCAGAAATTATTGGAGACCTTGTGGGTCTTAAAATATCCTGTTTTCTACCAGCCAAACTTGGCAGCTTGAGAACTCTGCATTACAAATAGTGACAAATATTTTATCCACTCACAAAACGTTGCTTTTTCTTTTGTTTGTTTATGCTTTTAACTAGGTAATTTAGTGTACCGATATGATGATCATTCAGCAAATCTCAGAAGAATTACTCCCTAGCTGGGCATTTTAGCACATCTGCCTTGAACACTGGCTACGGGCAAGGCACTAGAGTGAGTGTTTCTGGTGATAAAAATATGAATTAAATTTGATGTTTGACCCCAAGACACGAAAGCACTAAGACATTATGATGCAGAAAGTGCCGTGGAAAACTTGCTGAAATGCTCCGAGGAGTGAGCGTGCACGTGAATTTGCTGAGTCAGGGAAGGCTTGATGGAGGAGTGCAAGCGACAGCTTGATGACCGGCCAGATGCCTGTGTGACACCAGGGGGGAGGGGTGGTAAGGGGTTCCAGATGGATGAAACATGTTAACAAAGTCTCGGAAACAGTGTAATATGGAGTATAGCTGGATTTTAGTCTTACGTCAATGGAAGGGAGCAGTTAGGGATAAAGCTAAATTCCATGGGTTTGAAATCCCAGATTAAACTTTAGTGGGTGGCGGAGAATATTTACCCATTATTCTACTCTTTAAACAACTTTAGAGCCGTATTTTAGGATAATGCCGCTGCCTCATTGAGTCAGCCTGATTGTGGAGGAAGAGAAGACGGAGTTTGGAAGACCAGGGGCCAGGTTATTACAACGGTCTAATGAGAGTTAGTAAGAGCTGCTCTGGGCTGGGAGAGGTAGGTTGGAATGGAGGGTAACATGACAGATGCCATGTAGTGAAAATCTCCAGGAGTTAGACCCTAACTGGAAGATGAGAGGGAAAAGAGAGCGAGGAGTTAAAATGACGGAAGAGTCAGGCCTGAGCACTGACACCAGTGAGGAGTTTCGCTGATAGAAGGTGCGTTCACTCTGCTCGCGGTGCATGAATGATGTATGTTCCCCACCGAGAACTGGAAATGTGAAATTGAAACTCAGGCTAGGATCTGAACTGTAGACTCGGGAATCGTTAGCGCAAAGGAAGTGGTGGAAGGTGGAGGAATGGATATGAATGCCAAGGGAGGGTATAAAGAGAAGATGGTCAAGGACAGGACCCTCCGGGGTGGTGGCCTACTTCTAGATGAGGGGAGAGGATCCAAAATTGAAATAATGAGGTCAAGGGGGAGCCAGAAGACTCGGGATCATAAAAGCCTAGACAAAAGTCTCAAGAAAGGAGGGTCAGTAAAATCCATGGAAACAGGGAAGTATGGAAGATGAATATTGAGAAATTAAATACGGGAGTTTAAGAATTCATTGGTGACTTTCTCAAGAATGGAGCATATTCTTCTTTCAAGTCTAGGGTTTGTTTGTTTGGGGCCTATTAAGTGTTCTGGATTTTTCTATTTCCTTACAGATAATGAGGAGTGTGTGTGTGTGTGTGTGTGTGTGTGTGTGTGTGACAGAGAGAGAGAGAGAGAGAGAGAGAGAACGAGAGAGAGGGAGAGAGAGAGAGATATTTATGGTTATGACCAGGGGACTATTTTATATAGTAAGTAATAAAATTATTTAAGTGGAATATACCTTGAGCTTCCATTTCACTAATAATAGAAACATTAATTCAGCCAAAAGAGGAAATCGTCAGGATTTTACATTAGTCATTAAATAAAACTTCTACCCACATTATGTCCATTAAAAAGCTATTCTTTTGCCCCATTTCATTGTATGAAACAACACCAAAAATATATAAACAATTGTTGAAACGATGAGCATACCCCCAAGCATATTTGGATTATCACCTTTTTCCCTTCCTTTCAGAATAAAAGGCTGAGCTATGATAGCGACTGGCGGAGTGATAACCGGCCTGGCCGCCTTGAAGAGGCAGGACTCTGCCAGGTCCCAGCATCATGTCAGCCTCAGCCCCTCGCCTGCCGCCCAAGAGAAGAAACCCGTCAGGCGTCGGCCCCGGGCCGATGTCGTGGTTGTTCGAGGCAAAATCCGCCTTTATTCCCCCTCTGGTTTTTTCCTCATTTTAGGAGTGCTGATCTCCATTGTAGGAATTGCCATGGCCGTCCTTGGATATTGGCCTCAAAAAGAACATTTGATCGATGCTGAGACAACACTGTCAGCGAATGAAACGCAGGTTATTCGGAACCAAAGCGGTGTGGTGGTCCGCTTCTTCGAGCAGCATTTACATTCTGATAAGATGAAAATGCTCGGCCCTTTCACAATGGGGATCGGCATTTTCATTTTCATCTGTGCTAATGCCATTCTTCACGAGAACCGCGACAGAGAAACCAAAGTCATCCACATGAGGGACATCTATTCCACCGTCATCGACATCCACACGCTGAGGGTCAAGGAGCAGAAGCATACGAATGGCATCTACACTGGTCTGATGGGAGAGGGAGAAGTGAAGCAGAACGGGGGCTCCTGCGCCTCCCGACTGGCAGCCAATACCATTTCCTCTCTCTCGGGTTTCAGGAGCAGTTTTCGGATGGACAGCTCTGTGGAAGAGGATGAGCTTGTGCTAAATGAAAATAAGAGTCTGGGGCATCTTATGCCGCCTTTGCTCTCTGACAGTTCTGTCTCTGTCTTTGGCCTCTATCCGCCTCCTTCCAAGACAGAGGATGAGAAGGTCAGCGGCTCTAAGAAATGTGAAACCAAGTCCATTGTGTCGTCATCCATCAGTGCGTTCACGTTGCCTGTGATCAAACTTAATAACTGTGTTATTGATGAGCCCAGTATAGATAACATCACCGAGGATGCGGAGAACCTCAAAAGTCGGTCCAGGAATTTGTCCATGGATTCCCTTGTGGTCCCTTTGCCCAACACCAGTGAGTCCTTCCAGCCAGTCAGCATGGTGATCCCACGGAATAATTCCATTGGGGAGTCATTGTCGAGTCAGTACAAGTCCTCTGTGGCCCGTGGACCTGGGGCTGGACAGCTCTTGTCTCCTGGGGCTGCTAGAAGACAGTTTGGGTCCAATACATCCTTGCATTTGCTCTCATCACATTCGAAATCCTTAGACTTGGACCGAGGCCGCTCCACCCTAACTGTCCAGGCAGAGCAACGGAAACATCCGAGTTGGCCTCGGCTGGATCGAAGCAACAGCAAAGGATATATGAAACTAGAGAACAAAGAGGACCCGATGGAGCGGTTGCTTGTGCCCCAAACCGCAATCAAAAAAGATTTTACCAATAAGGAGAAGCTTCTTATGATTTCAAGATCTCACAATAATTTGAGTTTTGAACATGATGAGTTTTTGAGTAACAACCTGAAGCGGGGAACTTCTGAAACAAGGTTTTAATGTTTGAAAATATATATCATTTTACAAGGCTATATATTTTAAACCTATTTTCACTAGTGTTTCCTTGTCAAAGTATTGGTTATAAGCATTTTTCATCAAATGGTTCGTAGTGTATTAGATCTGGCTGCTTAATTCTGTAATGGGAATAGTCGTATGTTTGGGTTACTAAGATTGCAGTACTCTATATTGTCACATATGATTTTATTTTTTTCCATTCCTTTGAAAGCATGATCTCTTTTATTTATATGACTACAAAATACTTCCATCTGAATTAAAGCTCTCTCTCTCTCTCTCTTTTTTTTTTTTTTTACTTTTATGTTCTCTCATTGGTGGTCATATTCACAGAATGAAGTGTCCAGTTTGGAAAAGGTAGGGAACCAAAGTGTGGACCAGAAGTACCGAATTCAGGCACAAGCCTCAGTATATATGTATGAATGTGTAGGAGTACAAATCTTAGGTGTGCTTTCCTGAATAACTGCTTTTATATAGGATTGGTTAGATTATTCAAAAGGAAAAAGATCTAGCTTATGTGTGAGCTAATAAAATGAACTGGTTTATTTCTGTGTGAGCTAATCGATATGAATTGGTTAAGCTGCCAGGTAGGTATTATTTTTTTCAACATCAGTTGTATTTTACTTCTATTTTATCAATAAACCATGTATTTTAGAGCCATGCCTGAGAATGTGAGATATTCTTAGGGGCAAGATAATAAAAATGCTATCAGTTGTAACTTTAGATACCCAGAATTGAAACTTCTTTGCAACTGACTTGGAAAATGAATGGACCAATTGCATTTGTAGAAATACTACTTTAAAATAATAACATACATGAAGAAAATGTTGACTAATGAATGAAAATGCATTACATGCTAGTTAGTGCTAACTAGTCTCAGTGTCTTTTGCTAGTCGTCTCTGTTGTCATCCAGTGTCCACTCATTCTCACATCCTTATTTTCCCCCAATATTTTTTACATCCTTTTACTTGGAAAATAATCAGCTAACCTTGGCATTTCTTTTTATCTTCACATATCACTGGCTTGGTGGTTTTAAAAAATTCAATTCTTGATAAATTGCCTTGAAATTTATCTTGTGCTATAGAAAGCCTTATGCTGACTCCAAAGACTATCTTATAGTATAATACATTTTGGGGAGTGTGGTTCTCAGTTGTTGAAGATAATAAATATTAAAATGGATATTTATCATCAGAAAATTTTCATGTTTTCCATTAAGGTAACATATCATTTTAAGAATTGTTTAATGGAATACTCAGGAAACTTTACAGGTTCTTCCCAATGCTTAAACATTTCTGAACATCAGTATTGCAGTTGTTGTGGAAGAAGAGAAGGAAGATATATTTCTATTCGTAGGTTCCCACAATTCCATCTTGTGTTGGTATCATGAACTTAAGGCACAGTGTTACTTGTTAGAACATCAAGCCTGTGTATTATAATAGAGTGGGCTCAATATTTTACTATTAAGCATTTAATAAACTTCTGTACTTAATAGAGATTTGTGTTCTTCATACATTTGCTATAATTTTTAAATAAAATGTAAATTTCTGTTTCAAGTATTGTTTTTCAAATTTTCAGATACATTTTACAGAAGGTGGTCGATACTCTAGTACATGAATTGGGTGCTGTCGCTTTTAAAATTTTGATTCTGTTAGAGAGCTAGGACCATTCACCTATTTAATTAGGTTGGTCCCTTGGTGTGATGGTTAATTTTATGTGTCATTTTGACTGGGCTAAGGGATGCCCATATTTCTAGGTATGTCTTTGAGGGTATTTCCAGAAGAAATTAGAATTTGAATTAGTGACTAAGTAAAGAAGATTGTCACCCTGACCAGTTTGGAGCATCAGCCTGCGGACCAGAGAGTCCTGGGTTCGGTTCCCGCTAGGGGCACGTACCAAAAAAAAAAAAGATTGTCTTCACCAATTTGTGTGAACATCATACAATCTCTTGAGGGACTAAGTCAAACAAAAAGGCAGAGGAAGGGCAGATTTAAAAACAATGGCTCTCAATACCCCTGATGTGACAAATGACTGAAGCTATATAATATGCTCAGTTCACCCCGAAAGAGCTTTAAGACTTTGAAGAAGATTCAACAGCATGGGCCATGGAGGGTCTAAATAAAAGAATTGGGGCTTAAAGCAGTGATTCCTGTTCAACCTCTTTCCATCAGAAAACATGAACTTTTTATTTACCAAAGAAATCAACTTTATTACATGATAAATAATTATCTCTTTTAAAATCAAAGACACAATGTAATTAAAGCTTCAGATGAATATGAGATAATTGATGTTACTGTGTTGGAATTTCAATTAGACTAGATTTTGTACATTTCCCTAAGGTTTTTATAAATATTGAAAATTATTCAGAAACTCCACTTCTTCTGGTTTGAAACCTCAGGGATCGGTCACGGGCTAGCTGTCAGTCCAAAAGATTTCTAAGGCTTGTGGCCTACCTTCGGGTGTGTTGGTTTGCTGGGGCTGCCATAACAAAATATCACAACTGGTGGCTTGAACAAGAGAAATTTATTTTCTCATAGACCTGGAGGCTCGAAGTCCAGGACCAGGGTGTTTGGTGTCTCCTGAGGCCTCTCTCTGGGCTTGCAGATGGTCATCGTCTCTACATCCGCACATGGCCCCCTCTTTGTGCATGAGTGGCTCTGGTGTCTCTTTCCTTCTTATAAGGACACCAGCCATATTGGATTAGGGCCCCATCCTGTAGGCCTCTTTCCACCTTAATCACCATTTTTAAAGGCCCCATTTACCTTCAAATATAGTTACATTCCAAGGGACAGGGTGTTAGGACTTCAACATAGGCATTGGGGGGATACAGTTCAGCCCACACATGAGGTGTGCCGTTGAGACGTGGTAGAGCTGAGCGAATGTCTGAGCCGATGGCTGGTGAGAACACAGTATGGCCTCAATACCACCCCCACTGTGTAGTCTTGAGTAAATCACTTAATCTTCTAATTTTAATTGATTCCATGTCAAATAATGTCTTAATTCTGTGCCTTTAGATTTCTCAACTGTGAGATGAGATGAGCAAGAACATAAACTGTAAAGTCCTACCTCTAAAGGTCCAGGGTCCTCGGTTCCCTGGGATGAAGACCTGTTTGCCTGGCACTGTCTCTGCAGCAATTTGCTTCTCAAATGAGGGGCAGGAGCGGTAGTGGAGCAGACTGGTTGGATGCATGGATGTTGGAGCCAGAGGACCAGGACTGCACCGGGCTGTTCCACTTTCTGGTCATGTGGCCTTGGGCGCTGACCCATCAGAGATACTAAGAACCTCTAAGGCAAGACCATTGGTGTGTCACAACTGAGTGCCAGCCCTGCTCCCTAGCTGACAGAGATGAAATGAGTTGATGCTCTTAGGGTCCAGGAGGGTGTCCAGGCTGACATATAGCAAGCATTCTATAGATACATATGTGCCATCCTTGTCTGAAAGGGTCACCTAAGACCTTTCCAACCATCACCTCGTCCCCACCCCACTCCCAAGTGTATCCCCTGTGGTACAGTGAATAAAGGTCCCCGAAATGCGCACATCCACAATCCTCAGAACTTGTGCATGTTACTTACATGGCAGAATGGACTTGCAACTCTAAGTTAAGTGTCTTGAGATGGGGGAGATTATCCTGGACTATTCAGGTGGGTCCAATGAAATCACAAGGGTCCTATTATTAGGAAATGAGGAAGATTTGACTACAGAGATGATGTGACCAAAGAAAAGAAAGAATAGATGATGCTGAGATCCTGGCTCTGAAGATGGAGGTAGGAGCCATGAGCCAAAAAATGCAAGGAACAAAGGTCTAATTGCAAGGATTGGATTCTGCCCTTAGAGCCTCTTACAGAGGTGGGAACATCCAGCCCAAGGGCCGTATACAGCCTGTGAAATCAATACCAGCTAACATCATGCCTCACCAAATTAGCCTGACCAAATATAGCAGGCTAAGTTTTAAGCTGATAATTTTGTATGGCCCGAGAATGATGTTATAAATATCCAAATGGCCCCAGGCAGAAGAAAGGTTCCCCATCCCTGCCAGGAACTGGCCCTGCTGACACCTTGACTTTAGCTCAGTGAAACGGATTTTGCACTTTTGGCTTCCAGAACTGTAAGAGAATAATTATGTGTTACTATTATTTTTAAAAATTATTTAATCCTCACCCAAGGATATTTTTTCCATTTATCTTCAGACAGAATGGGGGGGGGGGAGAGAGAGAGAGAGACATCTATGCGAGATTGGTTGCCTCCTGCACGAACCCCGACCAGGGGCCAGGGACTAAACTGCAACCAAGGTACATACCCTTGACGGGAATCGAACCTGCGACTCTTTGGTCTGAGAGCTGATGCTCTAAATGCTGAGTCAAACCAGCCCAGGCTAATTATGTGTTATATTAATCCATTAAATTTGTGTAATTTTTTACAGCAGCCATAAGGAACTAATACATTCCTCCAAACCAAAGGAGCTTGTTCAGAGCAGTGAGCCAGTAGTCAGCAGACTTGTAAGCAAGGTGCAAGGCATCCATACCAGGTGATGGCAGGTGGCCCAGAGCAGGATGTATGATTCACTTTATATCAACTTTAGCGATGATAATCTTAATGCAAGCATAACAATGTAAACAATAGAGGGAGAGCTACTTTGAAGCAGCAAATACCGATTTTGATAGATAAAAAGCATACAAGCCCACAGTTGGTTTAAGAGTAGCAATCAGCGATGAAAGCTTTCAGGATCAAATGAATGTTTCTGTCTATGCAATTTTAGAAGACCCGGTGTTACTATAATTTAAAAAACAACAACACATTTTTAGAATAACTTTGTATCAAAATGGATATTACACTAATATTTAACAATTTGATAAAGATAAAAATTTGGTTACTTGTTCTAGCAGTTCAAATTTAACCCTTCCTGAAAACATAAATGACTAAAAGAAGCAATATAAGTTTTTAAAATTTGTCAGTTTACCAAGACTTAAACTACAGTGTTCTAAATAGTAACGCTGTGGCCTTCCCAGTGATAGTCTTCACCTGCTACGGTATTCAAATTGTTCCAAGATCTTAATCACTTACGTGTTCTCTAAGTAGGATCCAAAAGAGTAAACGTACATGATCACCCTGACTCCTGCTTTCAATGAATTGCCCTGTTACCCTTTCCCCACCCTATACAAAATCCTATCCCAGACCCGATGTCAACAATAGGGTCTATAACCTTGATATTGGATCAGAGCCCTACTCAATGACTTAAGTGCTTTGCGACTGGAATTCAAACTGAAGTCATTCCTTTGATTTCTCCACATTCTGTTTCTCTGGACAAGGCAGCAGAAAGGGGAAAAGGCCAACTTCATTGAGGTGCCCTTTGCTCATTGGTGCCATCTTGAGGTAGTAATTTAAAGTTCAGGCCTGCCCAAGAGCAGAGCTCATTCAAGTGTGAATGAAATCACTTCTTCTGCAGATCAGTTCCTGTTCCAGAAACACATCTTTGGTAAACAACGTTTATATTTCTTCTTTCACTGACAATGTGAGAGAAAATAAGTAATAAAGAGGATACAGGAAATCTCTACACATAGGATTTTGTTATTCTCACAGCATCAAGTTGTCACTATACTGTGTAAAATTGAACTTCACTTATTCCCTTTTCATTTTTTTTATTCCGCACCTGAGGATATTTTTCTACTTATTATCAGATACACTGGGAAGGAGGGGGAGAGAGAAAGACAGAGAGAAACATTGATGTGCTAGAACCACACTGACTGGTTGCCTCCCTCACGACCTGACCAAGGCTGGGGACAAACTGCAACCGATGTAAGTGCTCCTGACTGGAATTGAACCCACAACTCATTGGTCTGTGGGCCAATGCTCTAACTGCTGAGCAAAACAGCCAAGGCCAATTATTCCCTTTGTATTGCTTCTCTTTACTACTGGTTGGTTCAGTTGTTTTGTTATGGAAATGATTGATCAAATGACTTATTTTTGTCTTCTCTCTTATTAATTCACCATTTAACACACTGTAATTTCTAATAATTCTCTAATTCTTTCTTATCACCAAATAGTAGAGATTATGTCTCCAGGAACATGTGTACTCTACAAATTACATTTAGAGATTTTTGTTTTTAGTGCAATTGTTTATAATCTGTACAAGGCCACACACTGTATTTGTGGTACAAAAGATTGGATACTTGCTAATAGAAACATAAAAATCTGGAATTTAGAAGCAATAAGAACATTAGGGTTGACACCCAGTGGAATACACAAGTTAGTGGGAGAGTCAGCCCCTGAATCCAGGATTATTGATCCTCAGTAACTACATCAATTAAAAACAAACCAGGCTTTTTTAAAAAGGGTTTGAAAAAACATGTTCAAAATCAGATGAATAAATTTGACTTTATTGGGACTGGTAAAGAGAAAAGTATCTAAAATTTCAGGTGGAAATATAGTGCTAAAA